TGAAACAGGCTCCAGGCTCTGAGCTGTCAGCACAGAGCCCGACGCGGGGCTCGAACTCACGGACCGTGAGATCATGACCTGAGCCGAAGTTGGATGCTTAACTGACCAAGCCACCCAGGCGCCCCTTGTATATATAACTTTTATATACACTAGAAAACCAAAAAATTCATGTGACTTGCTTTATTGAGATATTTGCTTTATTGTGGTTGGCTGGAACCAAACCTGCAATATCTCCAAGGTATACCTGTATACTGCTGAAAATACCAAATTATCAATGAAATTTCTTCTATTCCCTCTGGCCACTCAGCTGCAGAAAAGCAGCAGGGCAAGAGAGAACATGATAAATGACAGTAAAACAAAATACTAAATAATAAAGCTCAGTATGTTTGCTGTGGTAGGCTGAATAATGGCCTCCCAAAATATCCAGGTCCTAAACCCTGGAACCTATGAATGTTCAGGGACTGTACAGATGTTATTTAGTTAAAACTCTTGATATAGAAAGATCATCCTGGATCATCTAGGTGGACTCTAAATGGAATTACAAGTGTCTTTTTTAGAGGGAAAAGGCCATGTGATAATGGCAGCAGGGGTAGAAAAGGCTATCTATCAGATGTAGCCATGGATTCATGGTAATGACCCAGTAATGAAGAGAGTCTCCAGAAGCTGGTAAAGTCAAGAAAATGGATTCTTCTCTAGAATTCCTGGAAGAAGCATGGCTATAGTGACACCTTGATTTTAATCTCAGAGAGAGCCGTTTTGAATTTCTGGCTTCCAGAATTATAAGAGAATAAATATATTTTGTTTTAAACCCTTGGGTTTGTGGTAATTTGTTAAACTAGTCACAGTAAATGAGTACACTTGCCTTTAAGGCTGATGTGAAAAAAAATATATATATATATATATTCCTTCGTCAAGGTAATTACCCAATTGACAACTTTGAGGGGTTTGAGTCAAAAACAAAAAACAAAATAAAACATGGGGGGGGGGGCAGTCAGTAATGTTGTCTATGAACACCATTAATTCAGTCATGTACTACCCAAATCATTCATAATGTTTTAAAAGAGGAAAAAACTATTGTAACAAATTATTTCTGCTTGAGGATATACACATAATTTTCACCTAATTTAAAAAGATTCAATTTACTCACCTCATCCCATTCTAAAATAAAGCTTTGGATTTTAGAACCATTGTCACTAGGTGCCTAAAAGAAACACCAAAAAACAAAATGAGTACAAATTAGTACATTTGTAAAAGATACTGTGATGATCTAATATGAGGAACTGACTGTGTTACAGATGTTCTCTGTGACTTAACTCCAGAAAAACTGCACAGAGAATAGATACATATGTATTTATAACCTCACAATCCTTTTAAATACAAGGAAAGAAAACAAAGCAAGAGGCTACTCAAGTTTTTCTGAACGGCAAACAATCTCTTGTAGCAAGAACGAGCTTAGCTTTTATGATCCATTATAAAAAAAAAATCACTTTGCCTTTTATCAGCTTTAAGTTCCTAGGATTGATCCTGTCATTTTCATTAAAACTCATTTTACAATCTAAAAGTATACTATGTAATACACCAGAGTGAAAGAACCAAGGTGCAGGGAAGAACTCCAAGGGGCACACTGTCTGGATCTTTGCTTCTAGACACAATGTGCCGTTACCTAAGATAAGACTGCTCATTCATCAATCTGCTAATCTTCAGTGGTGAAAATTTCAGTCTCCCTTAGCATTTTATTCTAGTATTTAATCACTCTAGAACTCAAGAGTTTCAACCTTGTTTCTACTTGAATTTTCTTTCTACAAATTCAACTTGTTTCCTCTCTTTAGTCCTCACTTTAGATACAGAACAACCGATCACTACTCTCCTTATAACTTCATCCATTTGAAGACAAGTGACTCTAAAACTCCTGTTATAAAAATTAAAAAACCTTAGTTTTAAAAAAATGTTTATTTATTTATTTTGAGAGAGAGAGAAGGGCAGATGGGGAGGGGGGAGGGAGAGAAAATCCCAAACAGGCTCCTCATTGTTGGCACAGAGCCCAACACAGGGGGTTGATCTCACAAACCTGTGAGACCATAACCTGAGCTGGTATCAAGAGTTGGATGCCTAAGTGATGGAACTACCCAGGTACCCCAAATAAGCCTGACTTTTGAAAAAGTTCTCCAGAGAACTGTAATTCTCTGGACTCTATCTAGTTTTTATATAATATTGGCAACCATGTTAATAGCAATCAAAGATGGTTAAATTTTTAATGAAGAGTCTTTTCTAACATGGAGGTCCCAATTATCTGTGAAACATCAATACAGATCTTATGTTTCAAAATTAAACAATTTTTTTAATGTCTATTTATTTTTGAGAGAGAGAATGTAAGCAGGGAAGGGGCAGAAAGAGAGGGAGACACAGAATCTGAAGCAGGATCCAGGCTCTGAGCTGTCAGCAAAGAGCCCGAGGCGGGGCTTGAACTCACGAGCAGTGAGATCATGACCTGAGCCAAAGTTGGATGCTTAACCGACTGAGCCACCCAGGTGCCCCTTATGTTTCAAAATTTTAAAAAACTGTATAATTTTTAACTGGTTAACATGACCAGAATTTGCTATGTAAGTTACAGGAGTAGCTCACTGACTGGCACAGCAATGGCACTTATAAATGACTACAGCGGGGATGGGGCAGAACTGAAACCCTGGGAAATTCAACTCTTACATAGCAGAGGAAGAGAATCCAAAGATAAAGACTGCAAGTCTCAGCAACAAGTGTGTGATATAAAAATATACTTCCCCAGAGTTAATGCCTCCAGATTGTTCTAGTCTATTGCACACTTATTTTCCTTAATTTCTTCTACTTTATTTTGTGAAGCTTTTCAAGTCAAGGAAATGGATTCTCCTTGAGTCCTTGGGAGAAGCATGCCTATAGTAACACCTTGAATAACCTGTGACCATTTCTCCAAGATAGAGGGGATTAAGTGTAAAGTGTTTTACATTATCTCATTTAATCCTTATATCAGCTCTTTACAACTGTTATCCAAACTATACAGAAGAGGAAATGGAGGTTTTAAACAACCCAAATAAGTAGCCCCAACCATGCTGATTACCATGTATATATAGGGCCATTTCTGAAGAGTACAAGCCTGGGTAACCTGTGTGGGCCACAAAGAGGTAGCACTGTTTATATCCTACACAGACCTGCTAGGATACTGTTAAAGACAAATTTCAAAATTCAATTTTATCTTTAGAATAAAGAGCAGTGCCCTACAGAAATCCCAACCTACATGAAGGTCACTGGGCTGCTACCCTAACTGTCCTACCAAAAGGAAAGAACCTTAGCATACTGACAAACAAAATGCTACTCTGACATGAAATAAAATTAGTCATACTTAATCACACATGAAAATGTATGTAGAACATACTTGTCTGATTTATGTGTGCTAACAGCACTTGAGTACTTCTTCCTACATAAAGCATCTAATATCCTCAAAAGAACTAAGGACTAACAAGCCCCAAACAAGTAGTAAGCTCCAAATTTTCAAAATCTTTCAGAAAGAAAGCTATCCCTGAGTTTTACTCTTTGGGTATAAGCAGATAATTAAATAAAGACTAGCAGTTATTTTTCTCTTTGCAAATCAATGGTTGCTATGGTATTCCCTTCTGGGGGATGTTTATACATTTTGTTGGGGGTGTTTCTGACTATCACAATAAGGGCAGAGGGAGGAAAGGCTGACTTTTAGGACTGGGGATCAAGGATGCTAATGGTTCTGCACAGCATGGGGCAATACACACAATGAAAAATTGTTCTCTTTCTCTAGGACTTCTCTGAATGTCTTCCTGGACATCCACGTAGGTGAAATATCTGTTTATAATTATCAGAGCCTAGAACCTAATTTCATTTTACAAGGTATTTTTTTTTATAGTTTTAAGTTACTGGATTTTGCCAAAATATAACTACTCTGCAATTTGAGAAAGACTGTACTTAATTTTGTTCAAAAATTTACTAACACTCGTGTATCATTTCAGCAAATCATGTCTCCAATGACAATGCTATATGTGGTATTTGAGTTACCAGTTCTATCTGTGGTATATGTTTACTTCATTATATCTCCTTGTGCAGGTGGACCTAAACATTTATATGTTAACATATATATTATTCTATTAAAATGCAGGGTATTTAATGGAATATTCCTTTAAGCCATCATATTGATATTTTTAAAACTCTGAGTCTAGTTATTATAAACCCCATTTTAGGATAAAATTCAGGATAAAGACATTGGGATGAGCTTGAGAAGCACTGCTGAGACTCTTAATGTTATCCCATGTCCAGTACAATAAGGACTGATAATTATATATGAATCTTTTCTGCTATATTTACATATAGTGAAGAAAAGCCATTAGGAGTATTACTTAAAGATACAACAAATGCCCATTTACTATATGTAAAGAAGAAGAGCAAGTTAGCTTAGAGTTCTTTTTGTATCAAAAAAAAAACAAAACCAAAAAACCAAACAACAACTGAAATTTAATATTAGTGGGGGTGGGAGGAGTAAACGTCCAGTTGGAAATACTCTAAAGAATATTGTTACCTTCCATTGCAAAGTGAGTGAATTTTTGGTCCGATTGGCTATCCTTGGTGGATTAGGTACATCAGGTTCACAGCTTAAGGTGGTAAAGCTTTCAGCTTCTGAAGGAGTTCCCTTTATAGAATTATATTCTGCCTGGACTCTATGGTGATAAAATATATAGTTTTAACCAGCAGAATCACTGTATCCTACCTTCAACAGCCATCAACCTTTAAGTACTTGGAAATTAGTAAGGTGCCCTCTAAATATTCTATCAAGAAAACATGGGTGGAGTTTCTGGCCGGCTCAGTTGGTAGCTTGATCTTGGTGGTTGTGAGTTTAGGTCCCATGTTGGGTATAGAGATTACTTAATTTTTTTTTTTTGATTTTTTAATGTTTATTTATTTTTGAGAGACAGACAGACACAGAGCACGAGCAGGGGAGGGGCAGAGAGAGGGAGACACAGAATCTGAAACAGGCTGCAGGCTCTGAGCTGTCAGCACAGAGCCCAATGCGGGGCTTGAACTCACAAACCGTGAGATCATGACCTGAGCTGAAGTCAGTGCTTAACTGACAGAGCCACCCAGGAGCCCCTTTAATTTTTTTTTTAATGTTTGTTTGAGACACACACACACACACACACACACACACACACACACAGAATGCGAGCAGGGAAGGGGCAGAGAGAGAGGGAGACACAGAATCCAAGGCAGGCTCCAGGCTGAGTTGTCAGCACAGAGCCTGATGTGGGGCTCAAACCCATGAATGGTGAGATCATAACCTGAGCTGAAGTTGGATGCTTAACCAACTCAGCCACCCACACGCCCTGAGATTACTTAAAGTCTTTAAAAAAAAAGAAAACACATGCATTAGAAGTAAAGGATGGCCCTTAAAAAAAAGAAAGACAGGATAGACCCTTGGCTTTCATCTTTTTTTTAATGCAACCCGAAGTAAGAAACACATTTTAAATTGTGACAAAACTGTATGTGTGATTATGTACTTTCTCATACACATACTTGAAAGGAAAGAGTCCTGAAACAATATCCCTAAGGGTAATATACAGATACTTTCCATTCTATTTGATTATTTCTTTTAAATAATGCTGAATCTAATCCACAAAATTTCATGATTCAATGTGGGTTGCAATCTACAGTTTGAAAAGCACTCAGATGGACAATACTTAGGGTTCACCCACAGAAAGTCTAATTAAAGATTTAATTTTATAGTTTAATAGGAATAATCCTAACCACAAATACTTTTTTTTTTTTAAACAGAGGTGACTAACCAAGTACACATTAATGACTCACAGCTGGGAAGGCTGAAAATGTTGGTAATTTATAATAGAACTACGCAGAATAAAACAGTATCTAAGTTACTTCTTAGTTAAATGTTGTGAATTTTTTTTTTTTTTTAAGATTTTAAGTAATCTCTATACCCAATGCAAGGCTCGAACAACCCCTCCATCCAGAGTCACACACTCCACTCACTGACTGAGCCAGTCAGGCGCCCCTAAATGTTGTGAAATTTTAAGAGTTTTAATATCCCAAACTCTTTCTGGAACAGGATGTAGTAAAAATACATTAAGTACAAGCCAAATATTATTTATGTTTCTGTTTAGTAAAAATTTCAAAAGCTGGGAGTTTTCCATGTGATAAATTAGATATGTAGACGTATTATTATCTATATATTCATTCCAATCCAAAAATCTTACAAACAGGATGATTAACCCTTCAATATAACATTTCAATGCAATGTTTTTGGTTTTTGTTTTTTTTTGGAATGTATTAATACTTGTACCAAAAGAAAAACCAAAGCCAACATATTCCATGTTTTAAATCCAAAATTAGTACTTAAATTATATGCTACGCTTTCAATGAAATCATTTTAAAAAACTACCTATACTATATCATATTAGAGCAATACACAGGAGTTCCTTACTTTGCATGGTAATCTGTAGCTGGCTTGAGATCATTTAAAGTGACACTGGTTTCTTCTCCTCTGGGGGAAAAAAAGGAACATTTCACTGTCTGATAAATAAGCATTTCCAGAAGATTTACATTATGTGCTACCATTTGTGGTAGTTTATGAAATTATACAGCTTTTTACTTTACCAACTATAACCATGTTCAGATTCCACTAGTACAGAATTTGTGTAATAAGGATATGTGCCAAACTTATGTATTTGCATATCACTTTAAAACAAAAAGGTGTCCTAGGCAAATCAATTGTGTAAGCCAGACTTTTTTTTTTTGAAGTGTAGTCAGGAAAGATATTTAGTTTATTAAAAAAATTAAAATCAGTACAGTTTCAATTATTTAAAAATCCATTTTGCCCAATTAAAATGTGAAATACCACGTGTGCTCCTGAAAGCAAAACCACCAAATTTTTACAAGGAGTGTGCCACTACTGCATTTTATTAGAATGTAACATGGAACCTTATTTAAAATTTTATAGTTTAATGAGCAGATTAGAAAAAAAGTGATTAATCTGAAGTATAGCATTTTACTCATGGCCACTATTACACTTTCAGGTTTTCAAACTTAATGGCACACATCTTTTTAAAATAATCATTTGATACGATTACTTGTATATGTGGTCAAAAACCCAGACCATTTTCCATCTTTTTTTAAAAATCACTATTACTACGTGGCAATGAGAAAAAATGAAATATGGCCTTTTGTAGCAACGTGGATGGAACTGGAGAGTGTGATGCTAAGTGAAATAAGCCATACAGAGAAAGACAGATACCATATGGTTTCACTCTTATGTGGATCCTGAGAAACTTAACAGGAACCCATGGGGGAGGGGAAGAAAAAAAAAAAAAAAAGAGGTTAGAGTGGGAGAGAGCCAAAGCATAAGAGACTGTTGAGAACTGAGAACAAACTAAGGGTTGATGGGGGGGTGGGAGGGAGGAGAGGGTGGGTGATGGGTATTGAGGAGGGCACCTTTTGGGATGAGCACTGGGTGTTGTATGGAAACCAATTTGACAATAAATTTCATATATAAATAAAAAAAAATACAAAAAAATAAAAATCACTATTCTCTGTTCCATTTCCTTCAGCCAAATTTCTCTCCTCTCATTTTATGACACCCTCCTCCATCTTTTCTCAAATCAAAACCAGGAAATATGAGAAAGAAAACCTTTCCCATTGAGGGAAGAACACTTAATGAATTGGGCAGTTTCAGTAGAATCTTCGGAGAGAGACCTTAATTGGTGCAGAGTAAAGAAGGTGACTAATGTCCCTCTTCTGCTCTCTGATCAGGCTGCAAATGGAAATAAATGCTTCATCTTAGCAGACAGCTATAACTAACTAGAAACAGCCATTAACATAAAAAGAAACCTTGATGTTGATGGTCTTTTATCTCTTATTTACCCCATAGGTAACTCTGTCTCCTTTAAGACATATGAATAGAATAAACACAAGTAAGTCTCAATAGAGAGAAGGAGACAGGACATTTTCTAACCCTACGTTACTAGATGATAGATACTGGAGCAGTTTCACTTTCCTTTCTTCCTTACATTAGCTATTTTTTGAAAAGATACCAAGAAGGCTATGTGTCCAGTGTTCTATGTTAATTATCATCATTCAAATGACTAACCCTTTTGCAATCTTCCCAGTGCTTAAATTATAATAATCAACTTCACTCTTTACTTTTCCATTAGAATAAGCAATATAAACCACTTCTATTTGACAAACGGAAAAAATTATTTTACAACTGTCAGTCATAAATGTCACATTTTTAGCCAATGACTCTAAGGCTTCTTGGTGTGTAATAAAACTTTTGACCCAAGGAAATAAAACTTTTGAACCAATCAAAATATGATTATTAACATACCAACATACAAATAAGGAACAATGATACTGACTTCATTTTACAATAGGGCATTAGCTTGACATATAAGAATTAAAGCCAACTCCTTGGAGGACAATTACCTGATTTCACAAGTTCACAATCTAAGAGTTCTCCATTTCTGATCTGGGCTTCTACTACTACAATTCATACTTCTATCTCAGGAATATGTGAACAGTGAAACATTTATTAGGGAGTCTACTGAAAACTACTAAAGCTGAATGTGGCCAATGAAAGCAATTATTCCAAGGGAGTGTAGACAGATGTGTACCAGCTGGCATTTGGATTACATACACTGAAATCAGTATCAATTATCAATTAATAGATTCAAAATGAAAGCATCAAGAGAGAAAAACAGAACAAAATTAGTATTAAGCTCTTTATATAAACCCCTGGCTTATATAATGGGACGGAGTAAAACATAACAAATACTTACGCATATACACTTTTATATTTCCCATCTTTCCCAGTACTTGAGACCAGAATATCGTAACTATAGAGCTCTGGCACAGTAGTCTCATCTGTTTCACCATTTATGAAGCTGGAAGGAGGTGACCAGGTTAGTACTACTGTCCTTGACTGGATGTCTGAGGCCTGCAAAAACATAATATTTAGAGCTGTCTGAAACAACTGTAATGAGCACAAGGAACAATGAAAATCTAATGAGGTTTCAAGATTAAACAAAATATATCTGTATCTACTTATACAAAATGGCTCACAAACAGAAGCCTATCCACTTGTAGAAGAGATATAATTTATTGTGAAAGGGCAAATGGGTTCAATAAAAAAAAATACAAGGACCATTATGGGCCACTTAAAACTATTAGTGTAAACACCATACACAAAAAAGAATGGGGGAAAAAGTCCACTTATAACGTATTTGAGAAGGTTCATTTCCTCAATTTAGAAAGTATCTTACGGGGTACCTGTTTCAGTCTAGTGTCTAACTCTTGATTGTGGCTCAGATCATGATCCCAGGGTAGTGGGACTTAGTCTTGTGTCAGGCTCTGTGTGAGCATGGAACTTGAGATCTCTTTCTCTCTCTCTTTCCCTCTCTCTCCCCCCTGGCCTCCCCCTCTCTCTTTCTGCCCCTCTCCTCTGCTTGTGCTCCCTGCTTTTAATTAAAAAAAATAAAAATAAAGTGTCTTACAGTAAGAAAACAACTCGAGAAAAATGAGCAAAGGATATAAACTGACTAAAGAAATATAATTTGATAATCTAACAAATGATGTGTAAATGCAGTCACAATTAAATAAATGTAAATTAAAACAAGATACCACTTTTCATCCAACAGACTAGGAAGATTAAAAAGTTAGTAATATGTCCACTGTGTTAAGGTTTATAGAAATGGGTTGAAGTATATATACAACGTTGTATTAGTTTCAGGTGTACAATACAGTGAGACTGAACAATTCTATACATTTCTTAGTGCTCACCATGGTAAGTGTATACTTTTCTTTTTTTTTTAAGATTTTATTTTTAAGTAAACTCTAAACCCATTGTGGGGCTTGAATTCACAGCCCCAAGATCAAGAGTCACATGCTCCATTGAACTGAGCCAGCCAAGCACCTCTGATAAATGTATTCTTAATCCCCTTTATCTTTTTCACCCATCCCCACATTAATTTCCCCTCTGGCAACCACCAGTTTGTTCTATGTATTTAAGAGTCTGTTTTTTTGGTTTCTTTTCTTGTTTGTTCATCTGTTTTGCCTCTTAAATTCCACATAGGAGTGAAATCATATAATATTTGTCTTTCTCTGACTCATTTCACTTAGCATTATACTCTCTAGGTCCATCCATGTTGTTGCAAATGGTGAGATTTCATTCTTTTTTTATGGCTGAGTAATATTCCATTGTATATGTTACCTATATACCACGTCTTTATTCATTCATCTATGAATGGATGCTTAGGATTGCTTCCATACTTAGCTATTGTAAGTAATGCTGTAACATAAGAGTGCATAGATCTTTTTGAATTAGTGTTGAATTAGTGTTTTTGTTTTCTTTGGGTAAAAACCCAGTAATCGAATTACTGGATCATATAATAGTTATGTTTTTGATTTGTTGAAGAACCTCCATATTGTTTTTCATAGTGGCTACACCAATTTGCATTCCCATTAAAGTGTATGAGGGTTCCTTTTTCTCCACATCCTTGCCAACATTTGTTATATTCTTTTTGATTTTAGCCATTCTGACAGGTGTAAAGTGGTATCTCATACTGGTGTAGTCCCAATAGTTTAATTTTGCTTTTGTTTCCTTGCCTAAGGAGACATATATAGAAAAATGTTCTATAGCCGATGTCAAACAGATTGTTGCCCATGTTTTCTTCTAGGAGTTTTATGTTTTCAGGTCTCAAATTTAGACCTTTAATCCATTTTTAGTTTATTTTCATGTAATTGCATTCATAATTAAATAAATGCAAATTAAGACAAGGTACCAATTTTCTTCCAACACATTGGCAAGATTAAAAAGCTAGTAATAACCATTGTGTTAAGGGTTTGGAGAAATGCACACTCTCTTAAATGTAGGTAAGACTATATATTAGAGTATGTATTGGTATGATCTTTGTGTAGAGCTACTTGGGAACTATCATAAAAATTTACTTTACAGTTCAAGAATTCCATTCCTGGTAACTTTTTTCAGTAAAATATCCTATGAACTTACATAAGTACATAAATATATGGAAATCATCTGAAATGAGTCTTCTATTTGTATGCTACTTTAGAGGTAAAATTTGCTTTTATATTCATCTCATTTGATTCTTGCAATTACCCTCTAAGACAAAAAAGATACATTTTACAGAAGAAACGTATTCAGAAAGATTAGGTGACTTCTTTGAAGTCACTCAACTAGTAGTGACTAGGACCTGAATAAATCAGTTCTTTTCCCATTACACAATGCCTCCATACTGAACTCACTTCTAGGTAGTAGCTGTTTTCAGCTAAAACAGTAGTTAGGAAGCTACTGAAATGACAATCCCCTTGTATGGATACTGGGATCAGGAAGTGAGAGAATTATGCTGAAGATAATTCAAAGGTCGAGTCTATGGAAACCTGGAGTCATCAGACGTTTCAGTGAACATTAAAAGGAAAAGGAGAGGGATAAAAATTCTGAAAGTAAAAAGGCATTGAATAAAAGGCAATCCATGTCTAATTTTAAGCATTATTGAAATAGGGGGTGGGAGGGAGGAAAAAAGAAAAAAAGATGTCAGTAGATTTTGACAGAATGAGACTTAAAACAGTTTCAAAGAAGCCCAATAATAAAGACAAATACTTTCATCTATACAGTTAATTATTTCTAGCATGTGAGGAAATACAATACCATTATACTCCATTTTATGGAAGAAGTAGTTTCAGAAAGGTTAAGTGACTTGTAGGTCACTCAACCCCTGAATGTGTAGCTGAGGCTGAGATTAGCACCATGTTCTCCCCTACACGCTGCATCTGAGTCACACTGAGTGAGCTTTTTTTTGGGGGGGGGGGGGTTCTCAAATGTGCCATGTTCAGTATTTTTCAAACATTGGTCACTTTGCACTACTCTCTCCACACTAATTCCCACCCCCACCCATAGCCCACAACATCCAATTACTACTTTTTCTTTAAATTTCAGTTCAATTATTCTTCCTTAGGGAAATTTATTTTGACACCCTGTCAAGGCCTAGCCCCCCTATTATTGTATTTTTTTGTAGCACTGTATCTCTTTGTTCTGGCACTTCACAGATAGAATTTTATATTTACTGCATGATTTATTCTACTAACTGAAGCTCTGAGGGCAGGGGCCATACCTATCCTTTGCTTTTCATCCTATCCCCAGCTTTTAGCACAGCATGTGGGATTTTATTATTGGTCAAATATTTATGGAATGAGTAAGTGAAAACTCATTTAGCTTGATGCTCTAAATGAACCAGAGCATGTGAAAACAACTACACACACACACACACACACACACACACACACACACACACACACTCTCTCTCTCTCTCTCTCTCTCCTGACCTACACCTCACAAGTAATTTAGTAAAGGAGTTATAGCTACCCAAACTACAAAAACAAACTAAAATAAAACAAAGCAAAACAAAACAAGCAGCATTACTTTGTTTTATGACTCAGGACTTATTTTACAAAATTACATCTTCCTCATAATGCTGGGCAAGAAATTCTTTAAAAGAATTATTCCACAATTTATGGCCTGAAAAATTACACTTTTAATATTATATACTATAACAAGTAAATACTGCTGGTATTAGCCAGTATGTCATTCAAATACCAATCCTATTAAGGCTTGCAAATTTCTTTTTTTAGTAAATCTAGTGATATACATAGATCTTGGAAGGACATTGACTGAATTTCAATACTACTTATTAAACCCGCTCTTGCTTCAGATTCCTCTTCTGTAAAATAGGGAAAATAGTACACAGACGGTTGTTCTGGAATTAAAGAAAATAATGGATATGTTTTCGAAGTACTTTGAATAGAGTCTGACACTAGTAAACTTGCATTAGCTATTACTATGGAATAATTTTGCACGTTTCTATAATTTACATGTATAAACTCAGTTCTGTTTTGAGAGAGAGAGCGAGTGAGCAGACGAGGGGCAGAGAGAGATGGAGACACAACAGATTCTGCACTGTCAGAGTGGGCCCATTTTTTAATGGGCTTAAAAAATTCAATTTGTATGAGCATTTAAAATTAATCTTATGCCACGACCTCGCGGTCCGTGAGTTCGAGCCCCGCGTCAGGCTCTGGGCTGATGGCTCAGAGCCTGGAGCCTGTTTCCGATTCTGTGTCTCCCTCTCTCTCTCTGCCCCTCCCCCGTTCATGCTCTGTCTCTCTCCGAAAAATAAATAAACGTTGAAAAAAAAATTAAAAAAAATATATAGTTTAAAAAAATAAAATTAATCTTATGTCAAATCTGATGTAAATATATTTCCTATTAGGAATGATAGCCTTTACTTAGGCTATTTAAAAAACAAGCAGAAAATTTTACGTAGCCAGTTTTACTGCCATACCTTTTGCTGATTTTCTGATTTCTGCTGTTACATCTATACTTATAAAGGGCTAGGGAATATTAACTTTCTTCTATAGTTTAATTCTTTTTACATCTAGAGTTAACTGAATACATTTCACATGGAAATAGTATAAACAGATTTTTTAGAAAACTGATGATCAGTGGTACTCACATTATTTATTACATCCTTGTCTCTTCCAATGATTTTCAATGTCATTGCTTAATGACATATGAAGCATATATTAAATCCTAGTTTAAAAAATGAATTCTTGGGGCGCCTGGGTGGCGCAGTCGGTTAAG